AACGGACTAAACCGAAGGAAAATAAATGAATGACTAAAGTTACACAAGTAAATAAATAGACTCATTGAAATACTGAAAAGCTGTGGATTTCTGTGCATGCAGCTTCCGTGTGGGCCTACTTATTGGTCGATGTCAACTTTATTTTTATAGCACCTTAAAAACAACATGAATGTTAACCAAAGCCTCCAAAAACTAAAGAAATTCCTTTTATAAATTTTAAGTGGGATATATCCGTCAAGTGAATTTTTACGAATTAGATTTGGATTTGAGTCTAATAAATGTATGTTTTGTGATGAAATTGAAACAACAGATCATTTGTTTTTTTCACTCTATGTTTGTGGATGCATTATGGCTTTACCCAAAGATCTCACACCGCAGGATCTTTAATGTGAATGACAATATTTATGGGCTTGTAATGGACAGTAAAAAAACATGCCTTCCTAATCAACAACATCCTTATGCTTGGAAAATTGTACATACATAAATCAAAATATTTGAAGGCTAAACCAATTTTTTGTGCTTTTTATAATGCGATTATTTCATATATAAGATCCCTTAAGATAATGAAAACAAAAACTGCAATTAGTCTTTTATCTTTGATAGAAAAACATAAGTTACAGGAAAACCCCTGGTTCTTTTTATTTATATATTTTTTTTAGTCTATTTTGTTTTTTAAGATTTAATTATGTATATTATTTTACTTCAAAGTATTTTATATAACATTTTATTTGTTCCTTATTTGCACCTGTTTCCTTTTCTTGTAATGTAAAGCTGTACTGATAATGCCTATAGTTGTTGAACATTACTATATGTTCAATAAAAAAAACAATTATGCTGTGTTCACACAAGATGCGGAACGCGCGGATAAATTGCGCAATTCGCGCTTAAATAGCAGCGTGAACATTTCAGGTTACTCGCTTCATTAGCACGTCAAATTCACTTCAGAACAGACGCGGATTCGCGTGATGGGCAGGGCTTCTGTCTGCCAGGTGACTGTAGCTTCATTGCTAAATGGCTAACATTTTATGAAGAAAATAACAGTGCTTTATGAAGACTGAAAAACAGCATCAATACGTTTAGGGTCATGTCTGAGTCCACTAGATCCTTTCAGAGGTGCATCCAGCTCTGTAAGCTCATAAACTCTTCCAGAAACTGAACCTGGATCACGGAGGCTTCGCGCGTATCGCGCCACAGGATGTCTATTCGCGAGTTTGCATTGACTTAACATGTAAATCACTCGCGCTTGACGTGTGTTCCGCATCTGGTGTGAACGCAGCATAAGACAAACAGGACAGTATACATATAATTCAAGAAAATTGAAGGTTTAAGGTTTCCGCCTGGATTTTGCCTACCTAGATTTAAAAGCTTCCCAAATCCACATGCAGAGCTGTAAATGCAAAAGTTTATTATCAGTTTAATGAAAACCATTAGAATTTTCATAAAACACTGTTGAAAGTGATTTAAATAATTGAATAAGTTGTCTGTTTTATAATAAACCCCTCTAAAAAGGAGGCCTTTTTTTGCAAACTCAGATTTGAAAGTGTACCTTTTAGGTTCTGTGTAGTCTACATTGCTGCAATTAATTTTGGTGGTTCCTGCACATGTCAATCATAGGAAAAAAGAAAAGTATCTCTATCATAATCTATGAAAAAGTTATTCTATTCTAACTGATGAGAGAACAGAACCACTTATGGGAGTATTGGGTTAGTACGAGCCTTTAAATTTTAAAGAATGAGGAAGTAAATGATGTCAGGAACCCGGTACTGGTTCCCAGAGTTTAGGAGGTTACCAAATGATGCATTAACTATTTTCTAGGGCGGAATGATGGCTCAGTGGTTAGCACTGTCACCGCACTGCAAAAAGGTTGTTGGCTCAAGTCTCGGCTGGGCCAGTTGGCATTTCTGTGTGGAGTTTGCATGTTCTCCCAGTGTTGGTGTGGGTTTCCTCTGGGTGCTCCGGTTTCTTCCAAAGACATGCACTATAAGTGAATTCGTCTAAATTGAACTTAATTGGTCATATTGTGTGTGTGTGTGTGTGTGTGTGTGTGTGTGTGTGTGTGCGTGTGTGTGTGTGTGTGTGTGTGTGTGTGTGTGTGAGAATGTGAGTGTGTATGGGTGTTTTCCAGTAATGAGTTGCTGCATAAAACATGCCAGTATAGTTGGCGGTTCATTCCTCTGTGGTGACCCCTGATGAATAAAGGCACTAAGCCAAAGAAAAATGAATAAATGAAATATTTTGCCAATGCTTGTGATTGATAGTGTGTAGCTATAATAAAGTGATATCTATTTTTTTTTAAAGTTATGACAATAACAAAAAATGTAAAAAAAAAAAAAAAACACACCTTAGCATTCACAAAATACAGCAGGTGATTTCGACCTTCAGCCTCCGCGTTCTTTTTCACAATCCATTGAATTCCCAGCAGATAAAATTAAGTCTCTTTCTACAATTTTTTTTTTCCATATTGAATATGCAGTTTCACTATGAAATGCTGCCTTTAATGAGGAACGGAGAGCGAGAGTACAGTGAAGGTCAGATCAGGTGAAGTCTCTGAGAGGCAGCAGAAGCTCCGGTGTGTCCTGTTTTTTTCCGGATGTTTGCGTAATGTGTCGTGAGCTGAGAGGTCAGGAGGTTGACTCGCTGCTGTCCCTGTCAACTCCTGTATACAGCATTTAGCGCTGACGTTAGCAAAAGCCCCGCTGAGGACCACTCTGAGCAAACACACTCGCCACTGAAACCGCTAACAGAGACATCCATTCATGACTGTGTTCCGGGTGATTTACAGTCAAAGGCAAAATTATTAGCCCTCCTATGACATTTTTATACTTTTTCACATATTTCCCCCAAGTGATGTTTAATGAAGCAAGGACACTTTCACAGTATTTCCTATTATATATATTTATTTTCTGCTGGAGAAAGTCTTATTTCTTTTAGTTTGGCTGGAATAAAAGCTGTTTTTAAAAACATTTTTAAGGTCAATATTATTAGCACCACTTAACTTTTTTTTTTTTAATTGGCTACAGAACAAACCACTCTTGTCCAATAAATTGCTTAATTAACCTTTTGTAATTAACCCAGTTAAGGCTTTAAATTGCACTTCAAGTAGATTACTATTATCTTACAATATTACTAGTAAAATATTTCCAAAATCATTCTTTAACTTTATGATTTAAAGCTCAAAAAACTTTTTGTTTGTTTGTTTTAAATGGAAAGGAGACTAAAAGCTGCTACTGTATGTGACTGGTTAGCGATTTGGGTTTTCCGATGCAGTTAATACCAAAGTTCCTTCAAAGGGCACCTATGATGAAAATCATATTTTGTAAGGTGTTTGAACACAACCATGTGTAGGTATAGTGTGTCCACAGTCATATTGGCTCTCTACAACTCTCACGTGGTCACCCACTAAAGCTAACCAGGGCTGCGCCTGGTCAGTACCTGGATGGGAGACCACATGGGAAAACTAGGTTGCTGCCGGAAGTGGTGTTAGTAAGGCCAGCAGGGGGCGCCCAACCTGCGGTCTGTGTGGGTCCTAATGCCCCAGTATAGTGACGGGGACGCTATACTGCTCAGTGAGCGCCGTCTTTCGGATGAGACGTTAAACCGAGGTCCCGACTCTCTGTGGTCGTTAAAAATCCCAGGATGTTCTTTGAAAAGAGTAGGGGTTTAACCCCGGCATTCTGGCCAAATCTGCCCACTGGCCTCTGTCCATCATGGCCTCCTAACCATCCCCATATTCAATTGGCTTCATCACTGTCTCCTCTCCACCAATCAGCTGGTGTGTGGTGTGTGGTCTGGTGCAAAATGGCTGCCGTCGCTTCATCCAGGTGGATGCTGCACACTGGTGGTGGATGAGGAGATCCCCCCTATTGTGTAAAGCGCTTTAAGTGCCCAGAAAAGCGCTATATAAATGTAAGGAATTGTTATTATTATTATTAATAAGTAAAATTTCCTGACGTTAAAAACGTGATGTAGGAGTGCGGTTTCCCCACCCACTGGTTTGGTTGACAGCTGCATATTAGCATGCCTCCGCAGTAACACGTATAATCATATCAACATGACAGGATATGCACAAAGCAACTGGGATTACGAGATCTGTTGAGCTCTCTGTGATCACCAATCATCATTCAAAGTGATCAAGAATGAGTTTAAAAGGTTTAAAACAGTGTATGTTTGTAATGATTACGGTAAATTTATCGTCTTAATTTTATCAACCCAACAATTATAAAAGAAGATGCTTCAATCTCGGTATTTGGATGTTAAGTCAGGTTTATTTTGTGAATTAACATAACTGATATCCATACAGCAGTGAATGTTAACATGGATCGTGTCCAATGTTGGGTAAATTTATTTTTGAAAGTAGTGTATTACAATATTGAGTTACTCCCCAAAAAAGTTAACTAATTGCATTACTTAGTTACTTTTTATGGTAAGTAATGCATTACTTTTGAGTTACGTTACTTTTCCTTACCTGCCTGAGGTTTGATCTCTTTTGGAAATTGCAGGTGATAAATATTATTATTATTATTATTGTTGTTGTTGTTGTTGTTTTTAATTATTATTATTATTATTATTTTATTTTTATTTTTTTATTGTTGTTGTTGTTGTTGTTGTTGTTGTTGTTGTTGTTTTTAAATATTATTATGATTATTATGATTATTATTATTATTGTTGTTGTTGTTGTTTTTAAATATTATTATTATTATTGTTGTTGTTGTTGTTGTTTTTATTATTATTATTATTATTATTATTATTATTATTATTATTATTATTATTATTATTATTATTATTATTGTTGTGCTATTTTAAGGTCACCAGTAGTAGTGTAAGCATTTCACTGACTCTGTATGTGACAAAAAAATTCTATTACATTTTGAAATGGAATGCATCAACTCTTTCTGATTCATGAGAAAAACAACAAAAGGATCATTCTGCAATCTTTTCTCTACTAATGTTACAAAAATGAATGAAATGCTGAATATATATTCTCTCTCTTTTTCTCGCAGCACATATCAGAGTTGCTGGCTGTGGTCAGGCTTCCATTTATCCACCCCAGTTACCTGCTGAACGTGGTGGACAATGAGGAGTTGATTAAATCGTCGGAGGCTTGCCGAGACCTGGTGAATGAGGCCAAACGATACCACATGCTGCCTCACGCGCGGCAGGAGATGCAGACACCCAGGACGAGGCCCAGACTCTCTGCAGGTCAGACTGTTTATTAGAACTTTTCACACTGTACTTCGGTAATACTTTATTATAACTACACTGAGCAAAAGGATTCTTTGGATTTACTGAATTTTTTTAAGGTAAGTGGTTGGATATAATTCATATGGGCTGAATTTAAAAAAAATAAATAAGTGAAACATAATAAAAATTTGATTTGTCTGTTTAAATTCCGCTCATACAAACTGTTTGCAACCACTTATCTTAAAAAATGAATAAATCCAGTGAATAATTTTTAGGGCACCCACTATGAATCATTTAAGCATTAGCAAATAGTTAGCTCATTATTTGTTAAGCATTAACTTTACATTAATAAACATTATTAAGCAGTTCGGCTCATTGTGAATATGTACCTCCTTATACAATTGTGGAGATCGCAAATTAAGTAGCCGGAGGTACATATGGCTAAATTGTTTGTTTAAAACGAATGCTACAAAGCGAAATTATGCCTCTGCCAGCTTCTGTTTCTTTTCACGCAACCAGCTGACAGCTTATCTCTGTGTGGACGGCTTTTCCGCTGTTACCAGTTTGCTCAGTAGCTCGCCTTGTACGGCAGCAGCATTGGGACGCAGTGCGGGGTTGATGCGACAACTGGGTTTAAGTCTGGTGAAGAACGTTCCAGGAAGCAAGTAAAACAAAAACAAATGGCAAAAAATAAAATAAACAAGTAAATAACAGGGTAAGAATGTGGTAATGTCTGAAAACGTGGCTTTTCTTTTTCTCGAATTGCTTTTAAAAACACTGTTGTTGGCTTTTAGGGAATGGGGTGTTTGGGGTAGGTCGGTCGGTCAGTCAGTCAGTCAGTGAGTTGACAGTGACCTCTGGTGGATTTACACAAGAACAGCAGTCACTAATGGCACATTCGAGAGAAATTTGACATCTAAAAAAAAAAAAACGGACACAGTGGCCGCTGGTGGATTCCCAAAAAGTAATTACTTTATATGGTAATAAATGCTTTATTAACACAACTTTATCCATTTTTATGACCTAATCCAGAGGACTATTTGTAAACCCCTAATAAATTAATATTTGCTAATGCTTAATAAATGATTCCTAGTAGTTATACAGGGTTACCTGTACTTCTCATTTGTCTTTCGCTAGTCTCACATTGCAGTAGCCAGATCTTTGACTGAACAAAAAGAAGTTTATTTCAGCTTATTCTGGCTGAAGAACCAGCCACTTACAGGAAGAGAGCGTCTGGATGAGATATAAAGCAATCACTCAGAGTTTATTTGGTTTTTATGAGCCGTGTAATAGAAGCACATTCATCTCTAATAGATGATGCCACACAATATGTTCTTTATTTATTTATTTTATTGCTATTATTTTTTTTACAGAAAAAAATGAATTCTGAAATGCATACCATAATGGACATTAAATGCGACATGAGAGCTGTTTCATGTCAAAACTCCTCCACCTAATATCAATAAAGTTCCCTTTAGTGATGACTTTTGTGACTGAAACACTGAAAACAAATATATTTATTTTATTTATTTATTTTTGTTTGTTTGTTTTCAAATACAAAAAAATAGATGTCCTTTAAAATACACTATAATTTAAATTATATAATGCACATACTGTATGTAGTAAACACATGTTGGTTTTTATTTTAGTTTTTTAGTTTTGTTCTGGTTTGTAGTTTTTATTTTATTTTTTTTAGCAACTGGAAATATTTCTTTTAATATTCATTCATTCATTTTCTTGTTGGCTTAGTCCCTTTATTAATCTGGGGTCGCCACAGCGGAATGAACCGCCAACTTATCCAGCAAGTTTTTATGCAGCGGATGCCCTTCCAGCTAAAACCCATCTCAGGGAAACATCCACACACACACTCACACTCACTCATACACTATGGACAATTTAGATTACCCAAATCACCTGTACTGCATGTCTTTGGACTGTGGGGGAAACCGGAGCACCTGGAGTAAACCCACGCGAACGGAGAACATGCGAACCCCAAAACGCCAACTGAGCCGAGGTTCGAACCAGCGACCCAGTGACCTTCTTGTTGTGAGGCGACAGCACTACCTACTGCGCCACTGCCTCGCCCCTATTTAATAAACAATTAAGCCCTTTTTAGTTAAAAATAAACACTCAATACAAATATTACAAATATAACACAGCTATTAATGTAAGCAATATTTGTTATCAGTATCTATGTTGTGTAATAAGTTACTTTAGCAAGTTGATTTAGCTTTTTATCAAAGTCAGTTAATCCACTGACTTTTATAATTATGCGCATAATTTGTTTACTTAATAGTTGTAAAGCAACAAATTTTTAAAAAAGTAAAGTGAACTTATTGCTTTTTACAGTGCATTAAAAGTCTCCAAAATATGAAATTCAGTTTCTGTGCATCACTAGCCCGATCTGAACCATCCAAACCTGCTCTCTCCGAACGGGCAAATGGCCCGCGTTCAGCGAGCGTGTGGTTATTCAGATAGCCGTGCATCTCAGGGTCTCTCCAACTGTATCTGAAGTCAATCTGGGGCTGCTGTAAAAATGCAAGCAAACTAATTTATGGTTCAATAAGGCTGTCCTCATGCAGCGCAGTGAATCACTCTGGCTCTCCTCTCCAGCCCCCACGATTCCCTCAGCAAAGCGTGAGCCCGAGAGTGAGCTGTACATTTATTTAATCTTGATATACTGTGGCTCTCTTTCTCTCGCCCCTGAGTTTTATTGATGTCGGCCCACTGCAGTGTAAGAGCTGAAGCCCTGCCTCGCTGGACCCGGATCAATCTCACAGGAGCGATATGACACACACAAACAACACACACACATCATTATTATTACCATATAGATGTATCGGAAACTGTAGCTGAAACTGTGGTTTGCTGAAATGCTCATAATATGGAGCAGTTAAACTATACAGAGCTTTTAAAGATGGAGTATTGTGTGTACAGTAAGCTGTATAAGGAGGCAAATACATACGCCATGAGAAGATTTAAACAAGTTATTATTCATGTACATGGCTGTGAAAATAAATAGGCTTTCCTAAAAAATCTAGAATGAATCAGCTCACTGGATTCACTGGGATGAATCTATTCTTCATATGGTTCGATTATGCTTTCTAATAAATCAAGTTGAATACAGAACGAATCAAGTCTTTAAAATGAATCCATTATTTTGAGTGAATTGATTCACTAATTCTAATAAACACTAATTGATTAATTTACAAAAAAAAATTTCACTAGAGTAAATTTAAGCTTTCTAAATAGTCTAGTAAAATGAATCACTTAAGTAGAATGGATCTATTCTTAGAGTGAATTGAATCAGTACATTTTCTAATAAAGTTTACTAGAATGCAGAGTGAATCACAACACTAGAATGAATCATTTCTCTAGAGTGAACTGATTCGTTCCGATAAAATCTAGTAAAATGCAGAATGAATTATATCAATTGCTTTACAAAAACGAATCTGTAAATGAAAATGAATCACTAGAGTAAATCTAGGCTTTCCAGTACAGTCTAGCAGAATGAATCCAGTCACTAAAATGAATCTGTTATTTTGAGTCTATTGATTTACTAAAGTAAATTAAGCCCTTTAAAAGAGTCTAGTAGAATGCAGAATGAATCAAATAATTAGAATGAATCTATTCTTCATATGGTTCAATTATACTTTCTAATAAATCAAGTTGAATGCAGAATGAATCAAGTCTTTAAAATGAATCTATTATTTTGAGTGAATTGATTCACTAGTTCTAATAAACACTAATTGATTAATTTACAAAAAAAAAAAAAAAAAAAAGAATTTGTTTCCATAGAGTGAATTGATTCTCTAGAGTAAATTTAGACTTTCTAAATAGTCTAGCAGAATGAATCACTTAAGTAGAATGAATCTATTCTTAGAGTGAATTGAATCAGGACATTTTCTAATAAAGTCTACTAGAATGCAGAGTGGATCACAACACTAGAATGAATCATTTCTTTAGAGTGAACTGATTCTTTCCGATTAAATCTAGTAAAATGCAGAATGAATTAAATCACTTGATTTACAAAAACGAATCTGTAAATGAAAATGAATCACTAAAGTAAATCTAGGCTTTCCAGTACAGTCTAGCAGAATGAATCCAGTCACTAAAATGAATCTGTTATTTTGAGTCTATTGATTTACTAAAGTAAATTAAGCCCTTTAAAAGAGTCTAGTAGAATGCAGAATGAATCAAATAATTAGAATGAATCTATTCTTCATATGGTTCAATTATACTTTCTAATAAATCAAGTTGAATGCAGAATGAATCAAGTCTTTAAAATGAATCTATTATTTTGAGTGAATTGATTCACTAGTTCTAATAAACACTAATTGATTAATTTACAAAAAAAAAAAAAAAAAAAAAGAATTTGTTTCCATAGAGTGAATTGATTCTCTAGAGTAAATTTAGACTTTCTAAATAGTCTAGCAGAATGAATCACTTAAGTAGAATGAATCTATTCTTAGAGTGAATTGAATCAGGACATTTTCTAATAAAGTCTACTAGAATGCAGAGTGGATCACAACACTAGAATGAATCATTTCTTTAGAGTGAACTGATTCTTTCCGATTAAATCTAGTAAAATGCAGAATGAATTAAATCACTTGATTTACAAAAACGAATCTGTAAATGAAAATGAATCACTAAAGTAAATCTAGGCTTTCCAGTACAGTCTAGCAGAATGAATCCAATCACTAAAATTAATCTTTCATTTTGAGTCAATTCATTCACTAAGGTAAATTAAGCCCTTTAATAGAGTCTAGTAGAATGCAGATTGAATCAAATATTTAGAATGAATCTATTCTTTCGAAAGAATTGATTCACTAAAGTAATTTTAGCCTTTCTTATAAAGTTTAGTGGAATGTTGAATGAATCAAATCACTAGAATCTCTAGAATCAGTTCACTAGCACAGCTGCTTCCAGTAGTCTTAAACACTTTAATTAGTGGGATCAGCTGTGTTTAATTTGGGTTGGAGCAAAACTGTGCAGAGCTGGGACCCTCCAGGAATTGA